GAACAACAAGTGTCAACAATGGATCATGGCAGTCAGTATCTTACTCCCCAAACTCCGTTTCTGATTAATGCGTGTCTAAAATAAAGACAGAAAAAAGTACAAAATAAAAATTACTAGAAGTGAACTGTTTGTGCAGAACGTTCTGCTGAGTATCTCGTCTAATCATGAGTTCCAATCTTATCCAAGTCTTTCAATTCCTTCTCTCCATCAATTTCATAGCTAAAGTCATATAAAGCCATACGGTGGCGGTGACGATGGCCTCTTCTCATTCATGTGAAAACCAGAATCAAAACTTCCTCCCTTCTTGCTCCGAACCTGCGAGCGTTCCTACCGCCCAGAATCCTCCACCTCCGGATAACTGCTCTTCCTTGCATGACTATTGAACCTGATCTCCGGGCCGCGTCTTACAGTCCCAGCGTTGACCACCTCCTGTTGGTAGGCATCTCTCCTGTCAAAAGACGAGAAGCCATTGCTGGGGTCTCTCATGGCAAGCTTGTCCGTTCCCTGCCTCATCCCGTACCGTTCTCCGCCCACACCACGGGTACTATCCCGCTTCGCATTCTGAAGGAGGGCAGAGACCATACCGATGAGCACAATGATGATGTACACAAGAAGCAAAACCAACGAGATGATCACCTCCTGCATGATCCCATTCCTCAATGAATTCGCAACGTGGTCGACTGCGCTCGTAATGTCATCGCTCTTGACGTTGGGGTCGGTCGAAAGGAACGACGTGAGTTGCCCGTCACCCTGGATGCTCTCATTGGCGCCTGCCGAGAAAATGTCCTTTTGGAACTGAGGGAGGGTGATGTGGGCGCGCTCGTTGACCCATGCCAATCCCTTCTCAAAGTTTTCGATTCTGCGCGTGATAATGCACCCAACAAGATCTCTGGCAATGGCCTCAAGCATTCCGCCCTTGAAAGCAGCGTTGATGCCCTTTTCAACCTCGTCTTCGAATAGATTGAGCGTGTTGTTGACTGCGACGGTGGCATTCTTGATGAGCCCGAAAACATTATCATTGATGGTGTTCTGCGTGTTCAAAACGCCCGCATTGGCTGTGTCGGCCCAATCGTTCGACGTGGCCTCCAGACTCCGTACGACATCTTGAGCAAAATCACCCACCCTGTTTGTGAGGTTGGGGATTTCCTTCTGAATAACCTTGAGCAAAATGAGCTGGCAGAGGCAGGCGAGAAGACCTGCAAGCGCCAGAGAGAGAACGAAAAGGGCGGGATAAGAGCTTCCATAAGCGACAAACCACCGAGCGAGAACCTTTTTCTTGCCGCTGAACCACGAAGATAGTCTGATGCCCGCATTTGCCGTCATGGGACGCGAGGCAATATAGACCACATCCATAGGGTCGTAGCCGTGCTCGGTGAAGATTCTGGCGCGCTGCTTCTCTCTCCGCCATCGGCGGATCTCAATGTACCCAAACACGAGCACCGCCAAAACGGCAAGGATTGGGATGGTGATGAGAAAAGCCGTCTTCGCCTTTGAGACCACTGCAAACAGTGCTCCGAAGAAATCTTCAAGGGGCTCATTGTTGTCGCAGAACTCAAGCACCTGTTTCTTGGCGATAGGGAAAGTCGTGTTTCCCAAGAAAGTCGTGTTGGATCCAGCATTCGTATTCAGCCTGCCTCTGATAAAGTCAAAAGGAATGGAAATGGCGTTCCTCGTAAGGTTGATGCTCTTGTCGAAGCTCGGGATGGTTTTATTGAGACTTTGAAGTTCGTTGGAAAGGACGTCGGTGATCTGAATACCCTCCAATGCAGTGATTTGTTTGGTGAGGTCGACAGTGGGGATGTCGATAACTCCACCAACAAAACTACTCCGAGCCTTTTCAAGAACCGTGTTGATATCCTTCAGACCTTCGCCGATTTGTCCTGTGATCTTTTTGATTTGGTCCTCAACATCCTTCCCCGCTGAATCGAGAACCTGCGTGGACACATCGATTCCTGTGTGAGCCAGGGAAAGAACCAAGCAAATGAGTGTGCTGTAGTAGAACTCGATGAAGAATACAATGATGTTCTCAGCTATTGTCAGCATGTCAGAGATCAGGTCAACTTGGGAACTGATCTCGGCGGTGGTGCGTTCGGCAACGAGGCGATTGACACCAACGGAAAGGTAATGTGGCATAGAGGCCATTGCGCTGCCAATATCTTGAACCTTGGTGCATGCTGATAAAGCTGTCTTCTTGGCATCGGCGATGTTTTCATCGAGGCTCGAAGCGAGGATGAGGACGCGAGCGAGGATGAGGAGCAACAGGACCGTCCAGCGGTTGAACCATAGTTGCGAAAGCCTAGCTCGGAGTCCCAGATATGGTGTGATGCTTGGATCGGTGTGAGCGTGTGGTTGGAGAGGAGGAGCTGATCGGTTCTGGGGGGTATCCAGGTCGACCATCTCCCATGTGTGTGGGTTGAGGCTCGAGGGCACCGGGGGTACGACCCGGGGCCGCTTCTCTTCTTGAGCCATGATGAATATAAAGAATGATTCAGAAAGTAACTCTTGTTCCAGCCAAGAGGATGTGTGAAACTATTTCTGTGAGATGTTGTTTTTTCTTCGTGAGAATGTTATTGAAGAATTAAGTAGACCAGCTATGTGGTAAACGAAGTCGATAGGAAACCGAAAAAAACGGAGGAGAAATGGAAACTAGAAAATAAGGAAAAGGAAAGGAAATGGGCAAATGACAGTAAATTCACATAAACATGCTGCTCGATTGCCACGAGTCTATTGTTAGCTGTTGAAAGAAAGAGAGGACAAAGGGAGAAAACAATAGAAAAGACAACCACAATGGAAGTGGTGGTGAAAGGCGAACGGGCACAATAAGAGGGACTTGCAGCGGAGAACAAGTCCCACATGACCCCTGCTCTGTAAACCAGCAAATGACTGCAAAAATAGATGCAGGTGTTGTCTTTGTCCTTGACAAAGGTCGTCAAGAAAGCCATTAGAGATGGCAGTGGGTCCCACTTTGTGAAGCGCTCACGGTAAGCGCTCGGTGCTTGGTGGCCAGTCATTCCAGTGTCCGGGGTCATTTTGAAGCGGCTGCCGAAACGCAGGGTGCAAGTCGAAAGACAGGGTGCAAAGGGCCATATCATGCTTAAATTGGTCATACTTGGTCGTAGAAAGCTGTTCCAGTGCCAGTTTTACTTCCTCCAAGAAATCGTCCAGCTTGTTATCTCCAAGGCCATGAGCAACACAACAGGGAATGGCACCCGCAGTCAATTCCCCTTCGCACGCGAATGTCGGATGCGGCATGCGCCATTGCTGACGGCAAACTTTCGGTATTTCAATGGCCCTGATGGTAGGATCGTGGGATCAGACTAAAACTTTGCCCGCAATGTCGACGATGGACTTTGCTGATGAGGTGGCAGTTGATGCAAGTTTGAGATGAGCCGTCACTGCTGGTAGACAATCTCCGCTCAACCCTGCAGCCCTGCCCCGCATTTCGAATGCCAAGCCTTGAACCACAATCCCCACCAGCTTTGACTTGTTCAAACTCTGAAGAGCAAATCAATATCCGACGAGGTACCTGATTGGTCTGTCAATCAGATGCTCGCCTCTTTGGAATTGACTGCGCCGAGAATTATGATTGATGGTTCAACTTGCACGCTCCAAGGAGGGTATACAGGTGACTCAATCTCATACTCTTTCGGGTACCGGTATCCCAACCGGAATTACCATGGATCCATCAAATGATTGGCTCAGAGCAACTCAATCTTCAGTAAGCCGGCGGTTAGATCGGCCCACTTTCTTCCGGTCAGATCATTGTCCAAAAATAAGCATTCCCTTGCGAACCAATCACGATCCCTTTTTTTTTTTTTTTTTTTTCTAACATGACCCTTCATCGTTTTAAGAATTCGCAAAAAAAAAAAAGGTTACTACTGGTTTTCATCATCGACTTGCCTGCCAAGGAGAATTATTTTTTATTTCTTTCTTTGCAGTTTATCATGGCAGCCTAACAGCAACAATCCCTGGAACTCAGCTCAGCATTCACCCATTTATTACTCTTCTTTGTTCCTGAGTATTCTTCGTCAAGAGTGCCAAGTGAAGAAACAATATCACTCAGAACAGGGCCGAAACCCGTGATTTTCTAGTCGAGATCCCAGCTGTTTGTGATAACCATTGAAAACAAGGACCTTGATAACTCGGGCAGACTTAAGGTCTTTGGCCGCAAGTAGACTCAATGCGCTGTTGAGACTTGACAAACTTGAGGAACTGCGAGACCTGTCGTCCTTGAACTATGAGATTGAGTATGACATAGTTCTACTCACTGCCAACTTCTATTGAAATCGCTATAGATTTTCAAGGACCAAGCCAAATTCAATGTTGACAGGCCAAGCTTGCAGCAAACAGCGAGAACAGCATTGCCCAAGAAACACTGCTGACCTGTTTCACTCAGCGCACACCAATGCACGTCTAATCTTCTTGTCGCATGCATTGTGAAAGATACAGTTTTGGATTTAACCATTGATACATTACAATTTAGACTTGGTGTACGCCACACGGCGTCCAGCATCAAATGGACGGTGTCGATCGAACAGCAACGACACCCCCTGCAAAAGGAAGGGTGCCGTTCCCATCAAGATAGGCCTGTCGCACGAAACGATGCTTCAACAATTCATCGGAAGCCATTCCTATCGGGTATGGTGTAGCGGTAACATCGTTGACTCTCACTTCTCAGAAGTGATATGTTCTCTCTCAACAGCCCCGGGTTCGACTCCCGGTATCCGAGTCGTTTTCGTTTTTTGCTCTATTCTGAAGTGTTTAATTTTTTTTAAAAATTCTTTTTATTTTAAATCATCTTTTAACCTCAGATCTTACTTTGCGAAACTTTAAATTCTTTTTTTGCTTTTATTAGTCTACATTGTTTTTAATTTTATTTAAAGTGATACTTGCACACTAACTTATTCTGCAAAAATATCAGACAGTTGCTTCACGTAAATTGCCTCTGTATGAAGGGTAATCCCTGCACCAGCCAACAACAACTTTCAAATTTCTCCAATGGTTGTGTAGTGTAGTGGTCATCACACTGGATTTTGATTTCACGACTTCAAAATCCTTCCAGTAACCCCGGTTCGAACCCGGGCACGACCTCTTTTTTTTTCTTATATTATTTTTACTGGGCCGCACCTTATTTTTTCTGCTGCTGGTTCTGGGCAAACCCCAATTCTCCAATTGGTTATCTAACTGGATTGATGAAAACCTCACCCGTTGGGATTGCGTGATCGCGAGCCATGGCATCTCTCAGGACTGGATGATATGGCATTCACGGGTGAGTGATTTTGCCGTTGCAGCTTTTTTTTTTTCTTTGGTTGCATTGGCAGCACATATAAGTGAGAGATAAGGCAACTTGTAGTACACCGAGACACGGGTCGGACGCCGACCCGGATAATTCGATCCTGAGAAGAGGAGAAAGAGAGAGGAGGAGACCGAAAGTCGGTAGTTATTCAATGCCCGTTTTCAATGAAGACGCAATCGAGCAATTCAGGGGTTCTGCTTATTTCGGAGGGACGGGATTCAAGTCAAGGGTTCAATGCCCATGTATATATATCTGGCGTGTGGACAGCTCTGACATTCAAAGCTGGCATCTATTCATGATCGTTTTTTTGATTTCAAAATATTGATTACCCATTCATATCATCTTACAAAAATGGCCCCCTTCTCCCTCCATCCAGCCCTCGACAACGGCTTCACCAAGGGCCAAACTTCCTTCCCCGGTGGAACACTCCACTGCCTCTGCGAGAACGACCCGGTCGAGGTAACTCTCACCAGCGACGTGTTGCACAACCACGCCTGCGGTTGCTCCAAATGCTGGAAACCAGACGGTGCCCTCTTCTCCCTCGTCGCCGTCGTGCCCCGCGACAACCTTTCCGTCACCGCCAACCAGCAAAAGCTCATCGTGATCGACGATAGCGCTGCTATTCTCCGATTTGCCTGCAAGGACTGCGGTACTCACCTGTACGGGAGGATCGAAAAGGAACATCCGTTTCACGGACTTGACTTTGTGCACACCGAATTGAGTGACCACAAGGGATGGCAGGAGCCCCAGTTTGCTGCGTTCGTGTCGAGTATCATCGAAGGAGGGTTTGATCCCGCGGGGATGAATGACGTGAGGACAAAGTTGAAGGGTCTTGGTTTGGAGACGTATGACGCTTTGAGCCCGCCTCTGATGGATGCTATTGCTACCTGGTCAGCGAAGAAGAACGGGAAGCTGTAGTATGGCAGTGTGTAGCGTTTGATAGGTATGGGGATACGGGGTCGGAGTTCAATGCACTTTGAATATATGGACATGGTCCTACTGATGATCAAGCTTTGTGTTTTGTGTTGCTGTAACAAGATAAACTGATGATAGAAGTACCTACGAATCAGCATTGAGAACTTGTGAAAGTCCCCCGAGTTCGGCGTTTGGTGATGCCTCAACAAAAGTGCATTGCTACTTACCTATTCTAGACGCACAGAGGACGTGGCAATAGGTTGATATGGACATAGGTACATCCACATGATGTAGGCCAACCAAGAACAGAGCAGCCTGCATGCTGCTTATAAAACTCTTCCACTCTTCCTCTTGTCAGCTTTGCTGTCTCCTCCACCAGACATCCATTTCGACACACACCTACACCTGCAGAATGGTGCCACCACCCCCTTATGCTACCCTGAGACAACTTGAAGAGCGGGACGCTAGCAGGAATAGGAATTTCCAGACTGCCGGCAGAGTTTTAGGTCGACTGCCGATATATCCCAGATTCGAAGGGCACGACGGGCCATCCGCGACGAGTATTGTACCACCTCCGACGACTATACAGCCCGCAAACCCCTGGAAATTTCGGGTCGAGAGCCTTCATATACCGATTGACTTTCAGTCAAAAAAGAAGGACAAAGATCGGCCATGGGATCTCAAATTCACCATCTTCACAGACGACTTGGCCGCGACTATGCAGGGTACCATCCCGTGGCGTAATAACCTTGATGCTTGTTATGCAGACGAAATCTCACTCAAGTGGAAGGACAACAGGACGAGCATCTTTGAGCGAACCATCAAGTTTGGATGGATTGCGGACGGCAGCGACCTCGTACGCTGGAATTTATGGATACAAATGAACGGCCGGGACCAAAACGAACTGTTGCGATACTCGCGGCCTGGAATCGCAAGCTTGATCACACCCGAAACAGTAGTTCGGTAAGTAGACTATTTTCCTGGATCAAAGAAGCGAGCCTGAGGTCACGGTGTTTGAGCATCAAGACATGAATGCTAATAGAAAGCTCTGATCTTACTACAGAATCACTGGTTGGTCGGAACGCATTATTAGCGGCTCGAACCTAAAGTCTTTCACGAGGTCATCGGATCTATTCTATTGCTACAACCCGGATAGACACTACGTAATTGAACTACCGGGCAGATCCCAGTCGCGCCCCGACATCGATAACCCAGATTGGCGCAAGCTCGTGGACCACAACATCATGAGACATATTGAATGCCTTGGAAACGGATTATAGGCATGCTCTTACTTGAGTCTTGCCTGAAGGGATAACGGAGGAAACAATTGAGGAGATGATAAAACATACTTAACAGATCATAGAAGAAGATTGCCGTGGTAAGAAAATACAGAAGAGCATCCACCAATAAATACATGTAGTGACAAGAATATCTCCCAATACAATTTCAAGTGTTCTTACTAATACTTGGGTGTCTGCTAATTTTGGACGATGATGATCAAAGGTGGAAAGGGGATCACATGAGAAGGAGAAGCGTGGGGGTTTAGGTATGGAGTACGTTGGCGGTCAGGCCATCATCCATGAAGGAAAAAAAAAGGGGGTTCTTCGTCTGAAACGTCCAAACTTTGTTTGTGTATCCGGCAGTACCTGCAGGTTGTCGGCTTTGCTTGTTTAGTTTGGGCCGACACGTTTTCTTGCATCGCTCTCGGGAACCCCCCACACATACAAAATCGTCCCAACATTTTGGAAGAAGGATCCGAAGGAGATGTTCGGAAATATCAACGACCTTTTGCTGCATAAGAAAAAGAGAGCCATCTCGATCTTACAGTTTGGCGAGTCAACGGCTCTGAAACTTAGCTCAATCGTGACTTTTACCGTCGTCATCTCAGGGTGGTTCCATTTTATGGGTACCAAACTAATTACGGTCTCCAACAAACGATCTTGTCGCCCATGTTTTTTGCAAATCTTATCGATTATTTTCAGGGCCGAAAAAAAGAACTTTCCAAGGGGTTTCTAGCTCCAATGCCACACTGCCTAACTGGCACGCTACGAAATAGATTGGGGGGCAGAGGTCAGATGACTTTGTGAAACTTTTCGATGTCCCAATTGGTACGGCAATCCCCGATGGTTTGAAGGCAGTGCAGAAGAAAAAAGCAGGAACAAACTCTGGTCATGTCGATCAATTCGGCATTGTTTCGTTTTGTTGAAGGAAGCGAAAAAACCCCACATTTGTTGAAAGAAAAGAGGCAGCCCCACCATCGCAAAAGTAACAATCTCTCAATTCTTCTCTTTGCCGAACATGTCTCCCAGCCCAAGATTATCCCACGCTAGTAGTCACGGATGACTCTTACCTTTTTGTCTCGTCTTTTCTTTTCAGCCGAGAAACGAAATATTTTTCTCTTGAGGAAATAGCCGGGTTGCCCGAGTTGGACTTTCCCAGCCTCGTCATAACGCAATGACAGGCGAAAACAAACCCCACCATCGTGTCCACGCCATTATTCAACAAACCCATCACGGGACCAAACGACTTGCAAAGTTGCCATCCTCAGGGTGCCTGGGACTAACAACCTGAGCCAAGGCGCGGAGAAGAACAAGTTTACGTGAGAGGATCCATGTCTCTGTAAGGGTCTGCATGCAAACCTGCGGGTCAGCTGGGCCACCTAGATTCCGGAAAGCTTGGCAATTGGGGGTGTTTCTGGTGGTCTGAAGATTTTCGGGATCCGTAGGGCGGAGGTAGCGCGGAGAGGTTTTAGTTGCTAGCAACCAGAGCTGGATCTTTCGCCATGTCTTTCCGGGTTCTGCCGGGTGGGTTAATTGCATGTGGCCACAAAGGTACACCTACCTTACCGGGCACTACACACGAAACGAACTGCAAAACGAAAACAGCCTCCCGCGGGCGGGCATGTTCTTGCTTGCTGATAAGGTGATGTTACCTATGCATCATCGGACCAGCGGCTCGTTACTTGAGAAATAATAATTAAATGGCTTGCCGCGGTTCTGCCCAAATCACGTCAGTAGGTACATCATATTATTGTACATGAGCATTACATACCAAGAATTCACCCCCAAGGGGAAAAAAACCAAACAGAAAAAAAAAATCACATCACCTCTCAGCCCACTCCGTGTCCCACCAATCCGGCCGAGTGCCGTCCCCAGGTGCGCCCCTTGCTGAGGCCTTGGCTTCAGGGCCTGGAACTGTTGGCCGGGACTACCGTACAAATGCCGCTGGGCAGTGAGGCACCTGCTACTGGGGCTGCTGGAGCCCATAGGACTCCATTCCTCCCTTGGAGCGGGTGCTAGAAAAATGCGGGTCGGGTCTTGGCCCGCCCAAGAAAATGTGCACCTGGGAATTCCGATGTGACAGCATCCATCCCATTTTCTGAACCTGGACTTGGCTAAAGAGTGAAGAGGGCTGTACTTTCTCTCCCTCCCTTTACTTTTTTTTCACTCATATCTTCACACATCCTGCCAATTGCCCACTACTACCCGTGAGCAGCCGGAGGGTGACTTTGAAGGAACGGGAAGCGCCTTAATACCACACGGATAACAAGTCCCAAAGCCAATCACGGCATCTGCACATCTGCACATCTGCATCAAAGTGGTTCCAGTTCCCCAGCATCTTGCTGCATCAGCACCCGCTATCCCGCGATCCGCTCCTGTATTAGCCAAGACCCCGGCGAGCCCTCACGCGATCAACCACCACACTTCTCACCCTCTCTCGAGTACATACCTGTCCGACTGCCCCCGACTCAATTAGGCTGCTACATGTCTCCGAAATCTCTCGCTCCAAGACCCGCCTTCAGACACGCACTCAGCAGCAAAGATGGCTCCAAGGGTTAACGGTGTCGGGATCCAGCCCGAAGACACCCACATCTGCGTGG